GCATGACATTCATAAACAGAGAAACTTCCTGCTGAAGACGGGTTTTTGTAAAACAATTTCCACTTGTATGAGGTCAGTTTTTGCTTACTTTTGCTTTTTTTTTTGCTTTTATTCATAGACTCTGATTTTTTAATTTCACTTTTTTTTTCTTTTGTTCATAAGCTCGGGTTTACTTTTCTTTGTAGTGTTGTGTTGTCTTTTTCTCTTTACTGCTGTCTCCAGTTTTTGCCTCGAACTCCTGACTAATATCATTGTTCCCTTTTTTCTGTCTTGTCTCTAATTGCTGTCTCTATCTGTGCATCCATCACTCACCCCCAACCACTGTTTCCATTTTTTGCCGCGAACTCCTGACTAGTACTGTTGTTTCCCTTGTCTATCCTGTCCCAATCCCTTCTTCCAGAGTGGTGTCTGGGCACTCACTAATTACCACCCCCTACTCGCCCACCTCCTCCAACTACGTTGTCCAATCGCCGAATACTGGCTAAAGTTACCCAGCGCTCGCAGGCAAAATACCACACAGTGCCGGCAAGCGATGCCGCGAAGTAGCATTAACAAAGAAATGAGAGCTTCTTCCCTCAATGGCAGCCGAGTCGAACCGAGTTTTGATATTTGCCAGCACGGCGGACTGGTGTGAGCAAACAGTTACGTGTCGTTATCGAGCATCTGTTGCAGAATACACGTGACCGTTCGACTTGTGTTGGCGCCAAATCTGTGCAAACGAGCGATGTGGAGATGGATCTGAGAATTGGCTCAACTCACTGTCTCAATATTTCAGTCCTTTCAAAAGCCTCAAGTAATTTTGCTTAATTTCTGTAGAGGCACTGCTACCGTCAAAATCTCTTAATAAAATTTATCAGGAAAAAGGGTTGAAAATATTGCTTGTCTTGTTCTTTTGCTTTTTTTTTTCATTTTCTAGTTCCAGCAATTTTTTTTTTATGGTAGAGGCACTGCTTGAGGATCCAGGGACTGGGGAGGGGAAGGAGGACATTCGGAAGTTTCAGAAAAACCTCGAAATTTTTTTTAATCCCTACGTACTGTTTGTAATGGCACATGGTGCTTACTATGATTTGTTCAACTCCGTTTCATATAGTTCTTGAGTTATGCAGCTGGCAGATGTTCTAGTTGCATTGACCTGGCGGTCAGCTTGCTGGCAGTGGTGGCACTCGTTTCATCTCCTGAAGGGACTAAAGTTTTGCTAAGTGTTTCGAGATGTCACTGGTGTGTCACCATTTCGACTTGCAAACGTTGCTACTTCTGGACCTCGATGGGATGCAGTGCTGACCTAGACCCTGCGGATCATGGAACGTCTCTTGCTGAATTGGTGGAACATCTCTTATAGAACGTCTCTTGCTGAATTTACCGCAACTTCTAATTTCAGCAAATCTCATTGAGTAGAAAATTTTACACTACGGAATTCCCCAAAATTTTTGTTCTCGTTTTAAACGTTCCAGATGCAGCGCTCGCTCATCAGATCCGTGTACTTGTCATAACAGTTTCTGAAATATTTCTTTCCATTTGGAATCCGATCATATCACTTTTTATCCGCTTTTCGTTGTTAGACACAATGTTAAAATTGCGGAAATTTTTAGATTATTTGTACTTTGTTACGAACTGGAATGGTCATGAATTATATGGTGTCTTGGGTGATGGATTACCCCCGCTACAAAATACTTATTTGAGTAAAAAGTAAGCCACTTACACCACTTTTCATAATTTAACGCCGCAGAAGCTTTGACTTCGATTATCTTGCAAACATCCACGATCACTTTTACGGGTCACAGCAGTTTCACACCGGTTTGTAATCACCGTAAATGTGTGAGTGTGAATTGTATGGTTGGCGCACTGTTTGTTTCCCTCATTCCCTCCCCCCGTCTCTTTTCTCATGCAAATCATTTGGAGGTGAAGTGGATGCATGCAGTATAATTATGGTTGAATCGGTTCTTGTTTATCGCTGCTTTTAGTGGCAAAGCCAGTATGTGGTTTCAAAGGTTGGGTTGGAAACACCGCAGTAATCTCGTGCTTTGATATGCGTACTTAACGGTACCTCGTCTACTTGAAATTGTTCCAGGAATGGCGGCACGCCAGCCGCATTAAGCAGCATTTCTGGGTTTGACCTA